TCACAACCATATGTAATGGGATATGATGCCCTCTTCTGGCTTGCAGACATAATGCACAGAATACTATATACTATCACAGAATACTATACATAATAAATATTTATTAAAAGAAAATATTTCTAAAATGTAATTAAAAAATAAGGAGTTTGAACACAGGTTCCCTTAATGGGTAGGCAATACTTTCCCCAGAAAAAGTGAATTATTAAATGAAAATCCCAGAGCCTGGCAAAAACTACCCCTCTGTGAGTTATTGACTAGGAAGTTTTTGGAGGTTCCCCCAAACAACACAAACTATTGTCATTGCTCTTGGCTGCCCAACATAGCTACATGTTAAGACCTTATTGCTGAAGACACAACACACTTTGGGTGCAGGTCATAGAGAAAGCAATCAAGAGGTGACGTGGAAACTTCTTCCTTCCTGATGACTAGCTTTCACATAATCAATGAATTCACCCAGCAGAAGACTATGAATGCTAACCTGCCAGGTAAGATATACTTGCTCGTGCAATTATGGTGTGACTGTCCCGGAGCTAGCTAGCCACTTTCTGATTGGATTTGAGGCGGGATCCAGAGGAGAAAATACACACCCAGTATTGTAAAGCACATGGTTCAAGAGTTTATAGGCCCTACATGGGAACCTACTACTGTTTTGTTGTTGCTGCTGCTGTTAAATGATCGTGTTTTCAAATTTTCTTCCAGATAGTGAATATCCATAGACCAGTGCTACTCTCAACCTTGGTCAGAGAAGCCTTTTTTTGCAGACTTGGAATTGGTCAATTATACTGAGAATAAGTAACTGCTGAGTGTTTGGCCCTAAATGGACCAACAGAGCAACACCCCACACAACCCAAAGTTTAGGAAATATTGTAGAAAAGGAAACAGAAAGCATAAAATAGGTGGGGAGGAAGAGTACTGTCAAGTGAAATGTCTTCGGGATATGACATGGTCATTGCGCTCAGAAACTCATAGCAGCTGGGGTTGCCTGCAGAAGACCTGAACATGGTCAAGCCAGCGGGCATCCCAGCATTGAAAGGAGGTTCACAAAGCGCCAAGATATTTGCAGTTGATGGGGAATTCATCTTGTTTTAGTGTGATCCTAAAGGTTGCCGTATGTTCATAGGTTGCCCATGATCAGGGGATGACCCCACACCCACGTGTATGTAAGTAGCACTAATTAGACTGGATGACTTATAAAAAAAAGGAGACAATGGAAGTGGGAGGAGCAAGGGTTGGAAGGCTCTAAGGTGTAAGGGGAGATTTTAGATATGATAGAAATATTTGGTAAACATGTATGAAATTGTCAAAGAATAAATTTAAAATATTCGAAAAACCCATATGGAACCCTGTTACTTTGTAAGCTACTTTAAAATAAAAAATTAAATTAAAAAATTTACAGAAATAAAGAACAATAAAATGAATTAGAAGGTATTACGTTTTTCCTGGTTGGAGAGGCCCCATTTCTGTGTTTACTTCTGTACTGTCAGTCAGGATGTTGCTGCAATGCCATCACATATATCCTGTGATCTGTGGAGCTGGTTCAAGGCAGCTTCATAGTTATCAATTGTGCTTACCTGAAGGCAGCTCGGCGATCTCCAGGTTCCTGGAATCTTCTGATTATCCATGCAATTGGTACATAGTCATGTCGTGAATGAAGAGTCTGACCTAAACTACAGTGCCCACCTTGACTCTTGTACAGCTGTATCCCTACCATCAGTTCCCCTGAGCCCAAATCCCAGCAGCCTATCTCTGAGTACAATGCTTTCTTCTCCTGGGCTGTTTCTTGGAGGCTCTGTTCCTTTTAAAACTTAATTAATTTAGATAGATAGACAGACAGAGTTTGTGTTTTTGTGTGCACACATGCACATAGTTGATGTTGGAAGGTGGTGCGTGTGCCATGGTGCACACATGGACTTTAGAAAACTTTAATGAGTAAGTTTACTTCTTCCGCCTTCACATGGGTACCAGAGATTGAACTCACCTTTACTCAGTGAGTCACCTCACTGGTCCTTTCTACTGTCCTTCTTACCTATGAGCCTGAGGACCTTATATAGGACTTACCTACTATAGAGTAATTACGCCAACAATCCCCGCAGATGGAAAGCAGTCTAAGGTGGTCTAAGAATGAACTGAGGAATGCCAGTGTGTTAGAGCTTCAGAAAGTGCTAGAGAGATTTAGGGCGTTGCTATTCCTGACATTCTTGATGACAACACCTTGGGAATCACCATCTCTCTGTTCCCTGGATGCCATGGAGTCCACATTCTCCCCCGTGAGTCTCATCTCATCACAGGGGCCAGACTTGGCTACTGCCATTCAGTCATGTGACCCTCTCCAGATTCTTACTGTCCTGTTTGCATTGCTCCTGGTGATGTTTCCAACTGGATGGAGCTGCCAAGTGTGGAAATGACCCCTGCATAGACAGGTAGGTAGATCTGCAAAAGGGGCTGGAACATCCCTTTGGTTCTAACATTTTATAAATGTATGTTTTCCCCTATAGCTAACCTTCATGCTTCTCATTTCCATCAGAGACTAGAGTGATGGTTTACATCTGGTGGGTCTCGACACCCTTGAGAGTCACATATCCCAGATATCAGGTATTTACACTGTGATTCATAACAATAGCAAGATTACAGTTATGAAGTAGCAATGAAATAATTTTATGGTTGGGATCACAACATGAAGAACTGTGTTAAAGGGTCGCAGCATTTGGAAGGTTCAGAACCACTCTCCTAGTGCATAAGGCCAGGCTTAGATGGGTCCCTTGTACATGAGTTTGTTCCCAAGTAGTGGGTTTTTCCTACTGACATGGTGTCAGAAAACAGTCCTAGAATAAATGAATGTTTATGAGAAAACTCCCAAGACAAATTTTGTAACCTCAGTTTCTTCAAAACACAGAATTGCTCTTGGAATGTGCTTCGGTGCCCCTCCCCGGCATAGAGGGAGGAGGGAGTTTGCTTCAGATTACAGCTGGCTGCTGTCCTTTGTTTATATGCCACGCTTGTCCTTGTGAGGCTACACTTCACTCACGTGACTGTTCTCAGAGTACACACTGTCTGAGGCTCTGGATAAAGCTGGTTGTTGAGACTCTAGTCCGCCTCATTTTGAGGCCTCATTCTTGGGAGAATCTGGGGATTCCACCGACTTTAGAGCAATAAACGAAGAGTTTTTGCAGTTTGGATATTCCTGTATAGTTTGCATTCTCATCCCCATTCAAAGTAACTGCGCTATTTTCTGCAAGAAATTAGTTAGGATATCCAGTGTAGTGAAAAGCAACGTAGCTCGTCCTGTGCTGAGTAATTTATAAGGAATGGACACTTAGTTTTGGAACCTGGGAAACTTAAGCTTATGGTGCCGCTATCTGGTGAGTCATCTCAAGGGGGAAAACAAAGTCTTTTATTACGGCTGGGCAGCAGTGGTGCACGCCCTTAATCCCAGCACTCCAGAGGCAGAGGCAGGTGGATCTCTGTGAGTTCGAGACCAGCCTGGTCTACAAGAGCTAGTTCCAGGTCAGGCTCCAAAACCAAAAGTCTTTTATTACGCCAGGAATCCTGGGATGGGGTTTTCCACCTAAGTTTTAGAGGAGACACTAACCAAAAACCTTACACGACAAATACATATTCCCAGACACCACCGAGATTCTGGCCCTGTGGGTCTGTGTAAGGACTGGAAAAGTACTTCTTACAAACCCCTCGAGTGCTTCTGGTGCAATCCCAGGAGCCTTTGAGAACTCTGGCTCCAGAAAAATGAGCACGCTTCGCCAAACCTAGACACATTTCTGGTGGAAACAATGGCATTCCTTCCACCGTGTGGCAAAGGTTCATTTATTTCATGTGCACTGGTATTTTGCCTGTATATACTCTCTGAGCCATCTCTCTAGCAGTGACCGCGTGTGGGTGAGTCGGTGGGTGAGTTTGCCTGAGTGCATGTATGTACACCACATACATATAGGGACTGCCGGGACCCGAAGGGGGCGTTAGAGCCTCTAAACTGCTGTTAGCAGTTGTGAGCCGCCAGATGAACCGTGGTCCTCCCCGCGAGGGCAGCCAATGCTATTAACTGCAGAACCGTCGCTCTAGCTTCAGACGCCGCATTTGTGAACGCAGTTTGCCCTGTGGCCACTCAGGATCGGGGATGAGGGCAGGACTCCGCCGGGTGCCCCCTTCCGGGGAAAGGCCGAGAGAGAGCGTACCGGCCCGACCTTTGAGGTGACGGTGGCAGCAAACTTGCTTAAAGCAGCTCCTAGGGCGGGCGGACCTCAGCTAGGCCGGGGCCTTCCCGGAGGAGCATGCCGGGTCCGCGTCATCCCCGCCGCACTCCATAGTGACCGGAGCGTCCCCGAGTCTGTCCGCGGAGTCCTCACAGGATTACCTCAGCGGAACCCGGCAGCCGGAGCCGATACCCGCGCCCCTCCAAACCTTGTCAAACATTCGCGCGCCACCCAGACCCGCGCGCCGGAAGTGACGTTAGCGTAACGCGCACTCCCGCCGTGCCTTTGCCGCCGTTCTGTGGCGGGAACAGCGGCTCAAGAGGGACTGTGGCGACTGTAAGTGTCGGTTCTGCATCTTCTCGGCCTGGGTCCGGGCTGGCGGGGACAGGGCTGAGTCCTCCACCTCTGCGGTGGTCACTGCAAACCGCGGCTCGGGCGGCAGTGTAGTCTGCAGCCCGCGGCGGGAGGCAGCAGCCCCGCGAGGTGGCAAGAAACTGGCCTTAGAACAGACAGTGACCGCGTACTGTGTTTTGTCGAGCATTAATTAACCCGTGGGCCAAGCTCAGCTCCGTTTTTGCAGTTGTTGACCTTTTTTTTTTTTTTTTTTTTTTTTTGGTTTTTCG